CTGTGGACAATGACAGAAAGGACAACGAATCTTCCCATGTTTTTCTTTTTTTTTGTTTTTTTTAACTTTCCTCTGGACCAACTACAATTTTTCGGTTTTCTTTTACGTATTTTTGGAGAATTTGTATTAGTAATGTTATTTATTGTTAAGAGAGACGTTTTGGGGAATTAATGACGTAACTAGACTTTCATTGTCATTAGAATATATATGTTCTTATAAATCCTAGATTTCTCCCTGCCCACAGAAAAACACAAAATAGGGCCAAAATAAAACGAAAAAAAAACTTCACTAAAGGACACCAGGATTATTATGTTTTTCCTTGCAGCTGAATATTGATTTGCTGTTCAATTCTTTAAAGGTGTTTTAACCAACAAACAGTCCCCTGCTGGCTCTTTAATAAAGAGCCAGCAGGGGACTGTTTGTTGGGAATTGAGGTTTTAAGAATTTTAAGTGTAACTCTTTGTTTGCTGTCATTTGGACACCATTGTTTCACGAATGGGACATGACACTTCTTGCGTAGTGCGCATTTTTCCGAGACATGTCAGCAACAAATGCGTACTTTTCCACAGCGGTGCTCAAAACACACCTACTGGCACGCATCTAGCTATGGACTTCAACTGACCGTAAAAACATGTATGTGTGCCTGGGTAAAAACATCGTCTTAGTAATGATTAGGATGTAATGACACAGCAGGTTTTTTTTTTTGGGGGGGGGGAATCCGCCCCCAGCTGTGAGATGGGTCGAAATAACGGGGTCAATGCGTTTTGTACACTGCAGGCAACAATTGTTAGATATCACACTGTTTGTTGCCATGAATCGACCGACCAGACCTAAGAATCCAAGTTTGTCTGAATATAACTATCATTGTTCGGTCTGTTTTCCAGTGCCTACTGTATAAAGTCGTTAGATCGCCATACGGTTCTTTACACTACTTATAATTAGTTTGAACCATTTGGAAGTACAGTACAATATTGCCTAACGTCGTGCTGAAAAGGAAACTAAGATCGTAATTGATGGCATCGAGACTGTTAAAGTTAAAAAATCCAAGGAACTTGCAGCAAAAAGATCACAATTACACCAATGGCGAGGGTCCATGTGATGACGAAAGTGTCCTCGAGTATCCACAGGGTCATGCTGAAAAAATGTGGAGGAAAAGTTCTTTTGTGTCCAACGAGCTGCGTTTTGAGAATGGAAAAGAATCGCGTCTTTGGAAAATTTAAACCTTTGTTATTCCTGAGCGATAGGCGCTGAAATAAACTGGACCTTTGTAGCCGTTATCAATAGGCCTATTTCTAAAACGATCTGTTGATAAGAGTTCGGGACACGTTTATTTGCTTTATTGGCTTTGTCGCCCACGGCAACAAACCACAAAGGAACATGGGATCACAAATGACCTACTTCTTCATGTGCACACAATCTAACCATCAAACGGCACCTATAAACGACGCTTATACGGTAAGGGCCGTCCATAAAGTACGTACGAACGAAATGTCGACGTTTCAGGCCCCTTCCCCGTACGCAGTGATTCGGTTTGCGTGTGGTACGCACTGGCTTAATCCCCTCCCATCCCCTCTATAAGCATGGTGGACGCAACGGCGTCTCCCCTTGCGCGTATGTCTGGACGGCCCCCTACTGTAACTGCGTCTTTCATACGGCGTTTGATAGCAGTACATGTACATGGCCACCATTTTCTCAAAACCTGGCCAACCCGTACACGAAGACGAACTTTTGCTGTATCATTAGACAAAATCTGCCATAATTTTGCTTCCAACACGTCTACTGCAAAAGTGATTTCAAAACCATCGTACCTCAATATGGCCATTTAATTAAATGTAGGTGGCGCGATCTTCCCCTACATGGATTGACACCCTCTTGAACTGTTAACCCTTGCATGCAATCAATTAGTGTTTGCACGTGTACTCCAGCAGGGATAAGAAAAATGATATCATCGATAGAAGACAATCAACCAGACGCTGTCCAGCTAGGTGACGGGAACAGAATAGGTAACCGATGGGGTGTGTGTGCAACTGGGGTACAATCGTGTTTGGAGAACCGTTCGATGTGCAAGACCACACACTGTCAACGGGTGTTCAAGGGTCAGAAGAGTCGCGAATATATTAGGATGAACAACGAGAAATATAGATCTGAGTTCAAGAGGTAAATAGGGACTTTGTGTATTTCTCTTTCTGTTGTCTAGGATATAACGCTAGAAACAACAGACGTGTTGTTGCGTGAATTTTTTTTAAACTTCCTAATGAACTGATTATCAGAATGCTGTGCCTAACCTTTATATATAAAACCCAGACACGTTCATTGAAAAAGTTGGGATTTTTGTTTTCCCGAAATAATGAAAGATTGGTTTTGTTTAGACATTTTGGAATATTCTGGAGAGACATTTACATTCCCTAAATCTGAACATGTATAAAGGCTTTGTTCATCAATTTCTTTTCATGCTACGACCTTAAAGATTCACCTTTGCTAAAATCACCGATTGCCCTCATAGCTTTTTCAATTAGCCATTTAGCAATGTGTTAAATGTATCCTCTTGGTGCTACTTTCCACTTTACCCACATAAAGATATGCAGATAAATTCAGATGGCGATGAAACATGCTAAATGAATGGCACGGACATCATCATCACATGCCCAGTCTCTGTAATGTTTAGGCTTGGAGCTGGTTAAGTGTTCATTAAATGTCAGACTGGATCCCTGTTCGTGTTGAACACCGTTGGTGCTTATCATCCCACGGCCAAACGGTGAAAAATGTCTATAGAACTACTGTGCACAGAATATTGAGAAAAAACCATGGTTAAGGGCTGCAAAGGCATGCTGTCCCACGACACGTGGAAGGAATAATCCCCTTATTAAACGGAATACTCGATAGTAAAAGTTGTGTTTGGTATATTGATTGGATTGGGGGTCTGCAAACGAGACAATTGCACTGTACCCAAACCGCTCTACACGCACCGTATGCGGAGTTTCTGTTACCTTGCCTCTCACGTAATTAAAGAATGATGTCGTACTAGATACAATTTACAAATACTCGTTTTTTGCCCCAAGCTCGGCTGCAAACCTAATAGTACCCAAAAGTCGGTCTTTGAACTGTATACCTGTATCACTAGAGGCTATGCCCTGGAAATATTGATGACATGAAAAGCTTATATGACCATTGTGCAAATTTACATGGTTAATAGGTGATTCTTCAGTTTTCTCTATAAATTCAATGCATGTTTAAATATTTTAGCTCATTGGTTATTTATTCAACCGCGTTTATAGAGCCACGTACAGAAGGAAGACACGCCGCCGTTTATTGAAGATGTCCTGGATCATTTTTCATTACTCTCATCTAGTTTTCCATAGAAGAATGAAAACTTGGATAACATACAGCCTGAAAAAAAAACTCAGATATTTTCTCACTCCATTTTGTGAGCAATCAATAATTGCGAGCAGTGGTCGTGCGTGATTCGTAAAATAGAACAAGCTAAGGCGTGAATAGTTCATGGCCCACACACGCACAAGTGTGTATTTACCTGCAACAGGATACCCCATTGTTCCTTATTTATTTTTACTTTAATTTTTGTAGAAGACCATCCATGTTGTGTACACAGTTGTCAATCGGGGACCCTATGTAAATCGGGAACCTTATTGTCCACTATTGTTTAGGGTCCCCAATTGAATGCAGAAACAAACTCACACACATCCAAACGCTGTGGCAGTCTTCCGATCTACCCGGAGATACAAAAAGGGACTTTTGTTATTGCATGACCGTTTCTAGGTCTTACTATGCACGAGTTCGTTGTCTATAAACGACATTGCGTAGTAGGTTTAGGTATAAAAGCAAAACATAACATTTTGGGAACATGTATTCGCGTACGTGTGCAAGGAATTTCGAGACAGTGGATCAGCGGTCGTTAACCTTTGCGTCCAAAGTCGATTGTTAAGGTAAAGGCTGTACAATGGTCAAAGAAACGATTCAGGCACAGATCTGGACAAATATGCCAGCCCTTCACCCTTACTAATAATGGACTATGTTTTTTTTTCTTTGACTTCGGAAATAAATTCAAAACCTAAAATTACAAGTTATTCTAATTTTATGCAATAAACCATACAAGTAGTAAACTTGGCACGCATAACAAATTACTCGCAGTTGACACACAAAATCAAATTGTGCTATGTGACTCGACATAAAAATGAGAAATAACATAAAACGTTATTCGTCAAATTTAAACATGAAAGTTTTTAAAGGTAGGGTCATACTTTGGTTATTCCCCCGGAGAAAAGTGGGATTTTTCTCCGAAAGCATAACTGGTAAAAGATGGTAATAGTAGTAACCACCTTGTGAAATTATTTTGTCTGAATTGTCCCTGTTGATTGGAAATCGATAAAAGTATGTCGAAAAATTCGGAAGAAACAACTTTTGAGGTGCCGTGGGGATGCTGCCCTCATGCGGTGAAACTCTGCCAGCCGACAGAGCCAGTTTGCAATCGGGGTATCCGTATTTAAAATGAGCGTGGTGAATTGCCATTGACGTTGCATTATGGAAACACGCTGCGTTGTTTCGATGCAACACTGCACTGCACAAGGTGGTGACTTGCCGTGATAGAAAGTACATCGTACCGGTGGTGCGCAGAACAAATCAACTTTGAAGTTGGACGACCCACTGCTACCTGCATGCTAGAACCGCGTTGAATTTGCAGAAAAATTTTGGCAGGTATATCACTCGCAACAGGCATTCCCCCTCGGCGGTGCTGTGCTCGTGGAAATCTTCAAGTTTCATCTTTGAAACCTCCCCCTGCCTTCTTCGGTTGAACATGATGAGGTGGCACAGACTCACCTCATTCAATTTTCTGCCAAACTGGCCTGATTCGTCTGCCCCGAGCACCCTGGAGGAGTTGAACGACGACAGGTGAACTACATTGGCATTTATCGTTTTCCTTGGTACAGCGTTCTGTGTGTGTGTGTGTGTGTGGACACAAGGCCTCGCCAGTTCAATTCACACACCTGCAGAAACTCTTCCACACGCTCCGCTTTGTGTTTTTGACCGTACTCTAGGGCACTTCCTTTCAGGAGTGCACACTTCTTGATGGAATGACCAATCTTCAGCGCTAGTGACAGAACATCGTACAACTGCTTGTCTTCCCTAAAGCCGGAAATATCGTGCACGGCCTTCACAATATCAGAAAGGTGGTGCGGATGGACAAATGATTTGAGTGATGCACTTGGTTGCTGAGTGTTCTTTCGGAGTTGTATGACGAGTCGACACAATTCACGTACCCTGTTACGGATGTAGCCATGCTGATCTACATCGTGCCCTAGTTTCATGTATTCACGCTTGGCTAATTCAACAATCAACGTGTCATTCTTGACTACCAAAGCCACATCATCTCTATTCATTGGACTAAGAACCTGTTGCAACTGGAACGACACGCCAACAGGAGGAGGTTTCAACAAATTGCTCTTGTGGGAGACCCATCCACCCACACGAGCCCTCTTACCGGTGCTACCAGTCTGCAGAGGGGGTGCTGGCTTCAAAGGGCACACGTGTCGCCACAAATCGGTACGCACACAATAGCCGTGACAATATACGCATGGTCCATACGCATGCGGAGATACCTTACGATTTGGCCTGTACCCGACAATGAGTACACCACGACCTTCACAAAGAACCTGACAATTGTGCCTGTGATTACCTTTATTGCGAATTTTCAACAGAAGTTTCTTACGCACACTAGCGTTGAGCTCGCAGGCGATCTCGACGACTTCTCTTTCTCCCCTGTGACATAACTGGAGATTGCGGGGGAGCTTGGCCTGGGGTACATCGCAGTAAAAGCAGAAGTGTTTCTTGTCCCATTTCCTGCAGCCAACCCCATTGCTGGGTTGCATTACGGTCACACCACAGTTCTCCTGGACGTCAGACGTGTCATCACTTGGAGCAACAGATGAAGTACGCCTGCTGCTGGAACCGGTGGACGAATCAGCCATACTGTCCAAACGCCTCCACTTACGGTGAACAGGCCAGCTGGCAAGAAAACAAATTGAACATTATTTTCATTAAACTGCCTGTCTTCTTTTAATTTGGTATGGACTGGTGGTGAAGGTGGTGTAAGGGGGGCAGGTATCTGGGCTCCAAACAGCCACATCCACCTAACGTCTGCCCCCAAAGAAAACATTTTAAACACAATTAGGCCTAGAACCACCACATACTGACAACAGAAAAGTCTTGCGGCTGGAAAATTGTGCTGCATGAACCTGTTCAACTGGATTATGTAATTGAGCTTTTTGGACTGCATACGTATACCTATTCCACTTGCACATTCACTCTAACAGTGGTTTAAGATCTACATTAGCCTATGACAACATGGGGGTGGTGATAGCAGCCATACTTTAGCCACGCTTTCACTCGTTTTCACTCACCATATTTTCCACTAGAAGAAACCTTCATCTCAGAACGGCTACAGAAGTCCACAGGCGTGATGGCAAGTCAACGCTTTGATGCTTTTGGACAGTTTGGAGGCTTTTATACTTGTTGGGGTTAGGCTATGCGTCCCCTGCACTTGGCTACGTTTATTATGCTCAGCAATCCGGATCGGACAGAGAGCTAGAGAGGGCGCTATATCATCCATGGATGCGCCAAACCTGTCATTTAGAGCGGGTGTTTTTAAACACCCGGCGTGTTAAATGTGTACACCGGGGACGGCTTCCAAATGCCTTGAAATTTCGCCGACCCTCATAAATGCTGACTGCTGCCTCAAATTTCACCTTATTGCGAACTGAGGACGTCCTCGATTTAAACCGGACCTCAATTCGCGGCTGTGTTGATTCGTAGAAGAGCTCCGTCTGGACCTTGCACAGGTATACACACAAGTGTGGGTGCGTGCAACTGGCGACCCCCATTGTTCCTCTTTTGTTTGTACTTTAACTTTTTTAAGAAGAACACCCGTATGTTTTGTACACAGTTGTCAATCGGGGACCCTCTGTCAATCGGAAAAGTTATTGTCCTCTATTGTTCAGGGTCCCCAATTGCATGCATAAACAAACTCACACCCACACACACATAACCACGCCAACGTTTTTGTAAGCTGAATACGTCCCAGTCTTGGGCCAAGACGGCAGAACTTGATTGCGGACTCGACTGAGTTTTCCTCTGGAATTCCGGAGGACCGATCAGCGCCCGGGAAATTCCAGTTGAAACTGTATGTGATAAAAATGGATCAATTACCTGCATCACAAGACCTACTACGCGGCATGTATAAGCGCTACGACGTGACGCTAATTGTACTATTAAAGTAGTAAAGTACCAGTACTGTCACCTTTGGGGTCGACGCATTGGTACAAGGAGCGTAGAAGTGAGCCTGCAAAAGTCTTCCTATAACAAAACTTAAAAAATAAGAAGCTGACGCTATTGATGCGAATCTACTTCAACGCTCCCACGGTCGGTTTTGTATCCAATTTCCTATCCTGTGTCGATTCTGAATATTCATACTAAGCAACTATTTTGCATACGAAGGCCATGCCTCAGTTGTAGGAAATTCCAAAGACGGCAGAAAGAGCCGTCGATTGGTGAAATGATGTCACGAGAGGGCGAGAAATTGGCACGCGAGTCATATATTATGCTCGATCGAGTTCTGCTGTCTTAGCCCAAGACTACTGGGGTACATGCACTTGGTGCGCCCACGCACTTGGTACGTACCTTTTTTGCAACTACATGGAAAAACCGATTCAACGATCCGTGCCAGACCTAAACTCGACATCTACTCTAGTTTTTAGTTCAGCCGTGTTCGTGCGGGATGTGTTGCCAGCCCTTATACGGGCTATGATTCCATCCACGTCTATTTCCTCTAATTTGTAATATATTAAGAATCTGTCTTGTTAAAGACTCTATCAAAATGGACCCTATTTAGAAAATTGTACATTTTTACAGCACTGATATTTCGATGAACTTATATCCTGAAACTTTTGAAGGTCTGTGTCACCCAGTCACCATAGATGGCTTACTCCAGGCCAATGTACTAGAAATGTAACATGCCCAAGACTCGAGGGATGAAACAAATGCACCAATTCTCTACAAGTCAATGTTTCTATATAGCTGTATTCACTTCCTTTTCGGTAAATTTAAAACTACAACTACAAATATTATTATTATTCCAAAGTCAAAGTGTATTATTCCAACATTCACTTAGATCCTTTGCACAGTTCTTTGTCCTTACCTTTTATACACTTTGAAAACTTTGTGAAAACTTTGTCCTTCAGATACCCCCATAAAAAATAATCACACGGGGTGAGATCCGGAGAACGGGGCGGCCATTCAATTGAATGGTTAAGAGCAATTACTCGATCTTGGAACAGTTCCCGCAGAAGATTTCTCACAGCAATGAGGCTGTGTGCGGGTGCTCCGTCTTGGGCCAACCGTAGATGTCGGGAAACACAATTTTCATGCCGTTGAAAATGCATCTGAAGTTGGGGTACCACGTCTTCGTTGATCATGTTCATGATCATGTTCGAAAAAAAATGGTCCGATAATGACACCATTCCAATCCAGTCCTACCCAAACGGTGACCTTCTCAGGACTCATGTTGGTTTCAAAATTAAAATTTTGCGGGTGCCCCTTAGGTGCGTATTCGACGTTGTTGTGGGTGTTTACTTCTCCGTTCACTTAAAATGCCGCCTCATCACTGATTGTCAAGTATTCAAGAAACCTTTCATTAGCCTGACAGCTTTCCAGGAGCCACTGAGCAAACTCCCGTCTCCTCCTGAGGTCTCAACGCAAAAGTTGGTGACGGATGTGCATTCGGTATGGATGGAACTGCAGGTCTAACTGCGTTATGCGGTTAAACGAAGAATGGGACCGTCCAAGTCCATTCCTCCTGCAACTGGTTCCCTTTGGCTGTTCGACAAGTTGCTGTCGAGCTGCAGCAATGTTTTGAGGAGTTTGAACTCTGTGCATCCTATCAGAATGACCCTTATTCAAAATAAGGCTTGTGCCATGCATGTTCTCGGTATTTGCGCAAATTTTCCCAGATGGTCGACTTTGCCGGTGAATCCCTATCAGGGAAGGCTTCCCTAAATGCAGCTTGGGTGGCTTCAGAGCTCTTGTTTTCAAGAAATTTCGTCACGACAAATACTCTTGCTCTTTGGTAAGTTGCACCATGTTGCAGACTTGCTGTCCGGTTTTGAGCAATTTTCAACACTGCACTGGCCTACCTCGGGCAAGTCAAAACATTTAAACCAGGTTACTGCATAACTTGACAATGTGACAAAAGGCAATCTTCCCTCGTTAATATGACCTTTTGCTGCCACTTTCAACCAGGACAAGTATGACAGAGGAAAACCCCATTCACTGGTTTATCCAAAGTGTTGCAACTGAGTTCGGATGCCCTTTTTCAAGACAATATGTTCAGTCATGCATGACAGGAGGGATACCATCAAGGTATTGTAACGGACATTTGTATAGCCTTTTTCATGTTTTATTGCCATGTTAATCTTTCGTACGCCGCCGGTGGCGCTAAGGGCCGCCGGCAGAGGGCCTCCGGCGGAGTGCCCTGACCTGTTTCTCTTGTGGTGGGTGCGCACCGGAAATTGGTCTCTATTTGGGCGTTGTGGTTTGGCGGGCGCAGGAGGGAAATTGGAAAAGTGCCCGGACGGCCTTAGAAATTGTTACACATTGTGATACATGCTGAGTTTTGTAGAGCTCGAGTGTCACGTAGGCAGTAGTTGTTGTTCTGACGGCTGTGTGGAAGGTCATGCACAGAGTTTGGTGAATAAAACAACTAAATTCTTTTTGGAAGTCCTGTATCTGTCCCCCTCTTTTGCGTTACCGGGTTTTGAGGGACAATAGCACCCAGGTCTACGCTACAGTATCATTAGAAACAATACTGCTTCTACCTTTTAGAGATCCTTATGCATTATAATCATATATCATGGTTGGGGCATATTACCCCTTTCATAAGGGTTTGGTTTTTTTTCTGGGACACCCTGTAAAAGTAATTAATTGCATGTCGGATCCGCTTTCCATTACAATGCATCTGAAAAAGGGAATTGGTCGGTGGGACAGGTTTTTCCCATCCAACGTGGTAACCGATTTCAAATAAAAACAAGATGGGTGGGATTGCACTGTTTCAATTAATCTGACAAATTTTAAAAGAGAACAAATCGTGTTCATGGGTAGGTATAAAGAAATCATTTCCCTTGAAATACCCCCATTTGCATATTTGCAAATTCCCCACCCCAACAGTACTTTGAGGTTAGACTGTTAAATGCAGATAAGAGATAAAAGATAAAGAGGAGACCTCCATGGCCTCATTCATCAACAGCATACCCTACAACACATGCAATTTGGTCACATTAATTAGAAATACAAGTAGTTTGTCGAACCAAACAATTCATTAAATTGAATGAATCCACCTTCAATACTCCCACTATGTCCCGTGACTTTGAACATGAGGGCCCAACTTTTCTTGTTCATGGCACAACTTTTCTTGTTCATGGCACAAGATTGTGACGTCATACCTGCATATGCTATCAAGACTTTCGTTGTCCAACCAGGTGAAAGCGGTAAAATTGAAATAAAAAATGAAAAAAAAAATCATGTACAGACACGTTAACGTTTGGGGTCCAACCTCAAAAGTATGACGTCCTATGCCAACAACAAGTCAAAGCCCTCAGCCAATCAAATTACGCGATAAAATTGTCAGCCAATCACAAGGCTCTATGTGAAACAGATACTTAACACGGCGAAAAACCGTAAAGTCCGCAATTGGAAGCCAACCGGATGCCAGACGCCAACCAATATCAATGCAGCGAGTGTTTCAAGGTGTGCACTAGACGAGACAGCTGTATTCGCCATTTTGACAGCACGGTGGGTACTCGACTACGCAGAAAGGCTCTGGGGAAGTGGGACCAGCTCCAAGGCATCAAAAGGTATCGGGAGATGTGCGTGGGCTCTATCGTGCGACAATGGTCGAGGTGAATATGGAAAAAAATTCAAGACAAAAGGGGAAGAGTATACAGTCAAATTCAACGACGACCTCGACATTTACGGCCATTAAAACGTTGTGGAAACTTTCATTTAAGGTATTCCAATGTCTTATGTATACGTTGACCCAGGGTGCAGAGGCTCAAGATTTGATATGCATGATATTCACGTGTCATGAACTTGACTATCCAATCACATACCCTTTATGTCCAGGACTAGATTAACGGCCGAACGGTTCCTGTCCAGGATGAAGACGATTTAACAGTATCATGAAAAATTCACTATCGATGGAACCCTTGAAATTAACGTGACGCACGTTGCCATGCCTTAATGTGGTAAACGTCGTGGCAAAATGTATACAAAACTTGGAACGGTTTTTAAAAGAAAAACAGTGCATCACTCAAATCGTCAAAAAAGATTAATTATGTTAGGTCAGAGCTATCGTCACTGCCAAAACTTAACTAAAAAAACACGACAAGTGGGAAGCCATACGGAATGAATGCACCATACAACGAAAACTAGCGGAAGACCTCCAGCTGGACTAAACGCTGACGAAATGTGGGATTGAGAAGATTAAACAGTCTCAACGCAGTGCCAGCAGTTATCAGATCATTGTGGCATACAAGGATTACACGAAGGCGGTTATCTTAAAAGGCTCCTCTGCCAATCAGCAAATTTACGTCTATCACCATGATGGAAACTATGACGCCATCACCAGAATGCAAGCGTTCCTTAGCAGAGGTTATTTCTTCGTCAGGTGTCTTTGTCAGGAAAGGTCACGACCACCCAGAAGACCACGTCAAGGCTCTTGCAAACTTTGCTTCCAACCCAACTGTGAAGAAGGAGACTTGATGTATTGCCCTGGGTGCAATCATAACGGGTTTGTGCTACGACAATCACGCCGAGATTGCGGTCAGTTTGTTAGCCGTAGACATCATGGAGGCAAAGACCACAGATTTGGAGAAAGGTTCTGCAACAAGTTCTGCAAGGTTCTGTGCAGAGAGTTTGTTCTTTTCGGTCGCTTGGACCGAGAAGAACAAAAATATGAAGACAGATAGCATTCTTGACTGAGTCTCTCGTCATTAGTCGTGCTTCTTCAGAAGACCCCCATTAAAGAAAATATGTCCATGTACAAAGAAGTGACCAAGGTGAAAGACGGAGACGGTGTTGCTTAATTTAGGGCCAAATCGTAAACTGCTCAAGTAAAGCTGTACCAATTCAACAAGCCGACAGAATTTTAAAGTCATTTGTTAAAATGGGACAAATTTGGGCTTTGTTAGGCTAGAGTACTAAATAATGACTAAGTTAGAAAAGGTATAATGACTAAGTTAGAAAAGGTATGGTTGGAACGGAGCAAAATAATTGGGATATCAATTAAAATGAATAACAAAGGCAAGTTGTGTTCTTTCTAACGGTTACAGTGACATTTATTTTGTACAACAGCGAACCCTTTTGTCATATTTTGTAAAATCTTCTCTCTCTTGGGGTGTATTTGAATTTGCAAAGTTTTTGTGCGAAGAAAATCCCTTCAATAAGCTGGTTCCAAACATAAATCATATTACAATGACAGAAATTAATTCTAATCAATTTAGTTAACAAATTTTGTATGCTTACAAAGTGCACATCAGCCCCACACCCCAGCCCATCCCACCCCGAAAACAAATATTAAAAATTGGTGGGAGGGTGTATTCTCGGTTAATCGGGAAATAGATATTGTAATCGCATTTCGCTAAGAGTCTTTTCAGTGAATTTTATCTTGTTCCCCTTGCTACTTTTTGGAGGAAAATCTATCCATGTCATAACGCCAGGCAACTACAAACATGGTGAAGGCTTTGATGCGGACCTATAGTCTTAAAACACTTAAAATCTAGGACCTAAGTCCAATTTGAAAACTTGTATATAGCAATTACGATTACACGATTACAAAAGACTACTTGGTCTAGGAAGTACAATTTCCAAAGTTCCCTGTTTTTCAAAGTGAGAGGTACGTTTTTGTTCCAGAAAAATCGTTAACAGATGCATCTAGTCCAAATTACATTTATTCAAAGTTCCCTTTTCACTATTTTTTCCAAGTGCAAAGTGCATCACCTCAGGAGTTCTTGATACAGTGTATAGACTCAAACCGTATGCACTGCAAGCCTTATAGACCTGCCTACCAACCAACACTCACACGAACCGCCCTCAATTTCCACAACACCTCTGTGAAATTTGTAAAACACTGAAAAAATTATATATTTTCCTTTCTCAAAAATGAAAACGCTTGTTGAAACATACACTTTAGAAAACATGTATCTATTTAAACGAACAAATCTCTAAACATATCGTCGATTATTTTACTATGTGACAAAAACCTGGAAAAATCTATCTTTTCCGATTTGGAGTTTCATGGTTCGATTCAAGGAACACTTTGACACAGTATTAGAGCCGAATGTTGTTTACTTTCTTAATTATCATAAACAAACATAAAAAACTTGGTGTCTTGGAATTTGAGTCCCACGAAGTGACAAAACCCTCCTTGGTCCCAGGGCAAAAATAAATACACAGCTCTGGAGCAGTTAAGATGCGAGTGTGTGCTGCGTGAGAACAATACTGAATGTAACTTTTTTGTACGCGTATAATCAAACAAAGGGACAAAAAGTTGTTGCAACAGGGGAAAAGGTAAGACCTCCAAATTTTACAATCTTAGGAAGTGTAAAGAACATTTATTGATGAACTACTATTTAATTAAAACAACAAATGTAGAAATTCGTGCTGACAAGCATTTTTAAAACTATACTTTGCATGACTTTGCAAAAAAAATTACCCGGTGTGTAAGACAAAAGAGGTCGAAAATGTAAGGTGAAAAGTATCATATTTAAAACTCCTTTTTGTTGGATGTCTGTTTCCACGATAGGGAGTTTCTTGTCTTGTCACTTCGTGAAATCATCGACAAGATATCTCGTCAAAACGGACTTTTAGAGAAAATATACTTCAATGTTTCAAAATGGCGCCAGTTTGCTTCCGTCATGAGCTTCAAGACGCAAAATCTCTATGTTCTGGATCCAATATCCATTGCTTCTTCACGGTCACATGCATTCTAGATCTGTATGCGAAAAAACTTTCGCAGATATAATAATTAGTGATCATACTTATCGCGTCACTTGTACTTCTGAACACGTATCACTGAACGCAAACTGTTGCGCAGATGCACGTGTGGTGAACAACCAGGTATTTGCCAACATTAGGGAGGGGATCTCCGAAGAGGGCATTGTTGGCTATTAATTCACACTTGTTTCTTGCTTGGCATTTGTCCTTTACTGTTAACAGTGAAGCAGTTGCGTTTCCGCCAGGGTTTGGTTTGTTGATATGACAGTCACTGGTGCCAGTTTCGCGACCGTAGAGGGCCCACTTCACGTCAATGGTTTCCTCTTTGCCACACTTAATAGAGAACTTATTGTTTTCGCATACCAATGTCTTCATCAACGCTGCGTTGAAATAATAAGAACAAAAGGTTGAAATGAGTGCTCAGGGAAGAATGGTGATGTCAGGTAAATTGATAACAATGGCAATGAAAAAAACGGCAATGATAGCCACAACAAAAAGAAGAATGGTGGCGACAGGAGAAATAAAAACAGTTAACGTTTACCAAAATTGCCAGAATAAATGCACATTCAGAGGAATGCTTGTTAAATATGTTCAAAAGTGGCAAAGGAAGGGTGCAGCCCCCAAAACATAAATAAATGAAATGAATATATCATTGAAATAAAACAATGTGAGAGAAATGTTACATGTGGCTGCACTTTGCTTTTCTTCCTTCCAACAAACGTGTCCCAAAATGCAGCCTTAGTTCCAGAGAGACACCAATGGTTGCGTGAAAAGGAAACTAAAAAATAGTGGTTACTCCTATAGCGGACGAAATGTGGCCGTCTGCTTTTCTGATTTCCAAGAGCCGTGAACAGGGTCGTAAACCTCAGGTTACGACCATTTCCTTTCCTGGGGATTGAAGACGTATAAACCAATAATTACAGTCCAGCCTATCTTTTATAATGAAAAAATCACAAATTTTCCTTTAATTGATTGCCCAAGCATGTGTCTATTGGATGATAGCTGTAAAACAGTATTTCCTTTGAGATCCTGCTTTCTCTGTCTCACGTGTCACTGATACTGCCGTATGGGGATTTTCCGCAGAAAACAATGTTAAGCATTGGTTTCTATACGTCGAGCTTCACTCCCAAAGAACAGAAATGGTCGTAGCCTACGGTTTCATGGCCCCATTCACAGCCCATTGAGGACAGAAAAGCAGATGACCACTTTTCGACCACCTATGTAAAATCTGCTTTTCCGGTATCACAAAAGCAGAAAAGTTGAATTCACGATTGTCGTCAAAGCATTCTATCCACTTTCCTACTTGTTTGACAGGTAAAAGGCACATGGCCTCTTTTCGTTCTTTTAATTGCCTGTTTGTCTGTCTGTCTGTCTGTCTGTCTGTCTGTAAGTAATTCTGTCTGTCTGTCTGTCTGTCTGTCTGTCTGTCTGTCAGGCTGCCCATCTGGCTGGCTAGGCGGTTGGTCGGTTGGTTGGTTGGCTAGTTGGTTGGTTGGTGCTTAAACTTAAGTTAAAGACTACCGCAGAAGTACGCTGAGTAGCACTGATTGTCACGTATTTCATATTTTCGGAAGTACAAGTCAATTTTGACGCGATATGTCTCTTTTAAGTAAAGGGATTTTTCGATTTCCACCAACTAATATGCTAGTAAATATGCTGCAAAAGCCCTTTTTTGTGTCAACTTTAAAAGCACGCAACATTGAAATTGCTACCAGCTGTGAGGGAACACCCGAAGAGCCTTTCACCCGGAACGCTTGACCGTGCTGCGTAATAACACACACTGCGCTGCGTAACAATACTTAACGTGCTGTGAGGTAACCTGTATCGAGTTGTAAAACTATTATTGATTGATGAAACACCTCTTTTTGCCCCTGAAAACAACTCTTATCGCGTAGTGAAGCAAATCTTATCCCGCAGTGAAACAACTCTTATTGACCCGTAAAACATTTTTTTTACCCAGCAATGAAACAACTTTTATCAAAAAGTGAAACAACCCCATGGCACAGTGAAAAAAAATAAAAAGTTTACATCGGTAATTTGCTTGTTCCCTGAGCTCTTAAAGGTAAAAAAAAAAACAAAAGATAAAAAGGAGTACACTATCTTACCAATCACAAAATAGATATCAAAAAAAATAAATGCACTAATACTCATTATAGATTGTAGGTCAACTCGCCCCCCCCTGGCCGACTTGCCCCTAACCAGCTCGCCCCTTACCAACTCGCCCCCTGACCCCCTCGTCCCCTGACCGACAAGTCCCCTTGGCCAACTCGCCCCCCCCTTAAGTTTGCCAAGCTCGTATGGCCGGCCCATTCACGATTTAATTTAAAAAACCACTCACACACATACAATCAGTCGGAGATGGGGTCGGTGACTGCTGCCCGTTAAAAATAGGCTCTGGGGTTTGCAGCGGGCACTCAAGTTGAGAATTATCAAAGTTAAACTGTTTAAAGCTTTAGTGGTGGATGTTTACTGTTTGTGGAATTTGGGGTAAAAATATTTTCAGTATTATCGTGTGTATGGGCCATCTGCCCAGCTGCGTCCCTTCTGCGGACGTCAGTCATATACCAAAATATTAATGGGACGTAGGGTTCGAAGTTGTTGAACCTGAGGGTATGTTTGATGTACAAATAACCTAATCAGACAGTGGACGTGGGAAGCGCTAAGACGTTTGAATACTTAAGTGATTAGTGCTGATGTCCAAATATCCATCACCGTCCGTGAGTCGTTCTTGTCGCATCGCTGCACAGTGGGCCAGCTCAAGGTCAAACTGCGCCAAACTTGTTTTGCGTATTTATCTGTGCTAATATGAGGGTATTGGGGGTTTTATGACCCGAGAAAGACAATAGACCTAATTCCAAAACGCTGTGACGTCATTTAGATGCTGAATTTTTATTGGTTGAAATATGTGTGCGTCTTGTATCGTGTTTTTGACGAGAATTTGGAAATGACTTCTTTGATTACGTTTTTAGGTATTTCAATTGTTATACAAATGTATGTCAATGGTTTATTATCTCATTTGAAGCAATGTTCATAATATTTTTAACCATTATGATTTTTATTTTGATTTTTTATTACTACCCGATCGTTGTTTTCAAAATGAAAACAATCAGAACTGAACGAATTAACAAACTTTATTCAACTATGACCAAATCTACAAAAGATTTGTTTTGTCAAGGTATAAAACCATAAAAAATAAAGAAAATTAATTCTAAGTAAACATAAGAATTAACCAGCAATCATTCATTTTGCGGTGTAACTCATTTTTGCCTGTTTGTGTTTGTTATTTAGTAGTTCAAATTAACACTTATATTCTAATGGCGTCAAAACAAAATATAGTTTTGGCAATATCATTAGAAAGCAGAATTATGCATGTTCACTTTATGTCATCAGTGGAAACGAAGCATTTCTTGCATTGTTATTTATGGTACAGGTGATTTAAAGGATGAGAAAACTTACCTGCACAGAAGGCTGCTATAGTTTGTAATAACTTATCTTATGACGAATCACTCTCTGAAGAATCACTTGGGTTATGGGTTGGACTAGGTGAGGATTCTCCTTCGACAAGAATGACACGTTCGAGCTCCTTTGTCATCTCTCGGACTTTCTGGGGAACAGGTGTTCTCTTTTTCCTGTTGTACACAGACTTGCTGCTGATTACAATGTCACCGGTTACCATAAGTCTGTGAAAAACGTCACTCATTGTGTGTGTCCTTGACGTTTTTCTTGCGTACCTCAACCGAAAGAGCTTGTTATCTTTGTTCCGAGTTTCTTGGGCTTCTTCGCTCATCATGCCAATCGGTAGAATTGAAGATGAAATTATTTATGCTCCGTGGATCAGTAAGACATGGAAACTGACTGGCATTTTAAACCAAGAATACATTTCAATGCACAACTTCATTATTTTTTTTGGCAGTATCCAAACAGTAGGGTCCAAATTTGTCGGGGTCTATGGGAAGTCCTGAGGATAAAGCGATCAGAATTACGTGAAATCTACGAACTAGATTCTCGTCAAGACCGCAGATGTTAAAGAATTTTGTTTCAGTTTTGAAAGCTCTGCGTGCAGTATTTCAGTCATTGGAAGTTCCATATCCTGGCTTCGGTTGGTCAACTTTCAACCCAAGTTCTGATCTAAAAAGTTCCTGAATCTTTTTCTCTCTCTCTACCATGACTGATCTGTCCTCATCTGACTGTATCCTCCACTTTTGGAAGGGAAGTCTATATGCGATGTGAAGCATCATTTCAAAGCAACGAATCCGTTTGTGTCGTGGGCAGACTCCAAATTTGTATCTGTCTAAGACGGGTTGTGGAAGATGGTGAATATTATTGAAGTCCTTAGGTGTGGTTGAAGAAGTTTTAGTAATTGCATTGATGACTTTTTGGTCAACCACGGTGAAGTGAAGATTGTACTTAACGTAGACGGTCTCCTTTCTAGCTAATTTGCCTTCTACTTGGATGTTAAGATCAACTGCTATAGGTTGAAGTTGCTAGATTTCCGTCTCTCTGTTCTGATGTTATTCCTGGGATAGCTCCCATGTTTCTTTTTTTCTTTTTGTATTGTAAATGGATTGGCCGACAAAAGCGTGTAGATGAAGGAACAGGGTTTTCCTATATCACTTGTTCCCTGTATTTCAGTTGCAATGGTACAAGTGTGGTGCAAAACCAACTCGAAACATCAGACTGTTCTGAGGTTGTGAATCTTTGTTTGTACTCACTTTGACTCGATGAGCCATCAAATTTACAAATTACGTCAAGAAAGAGGGGACGTTCATCTTTTGGTACCTTCTCATTTAGTTCGTGAACATTGTTCTGTCGTTGTTCCAATCTACGACGGGCTGTATGGTCTAGAAGACTTTGTAGAGACACTTTGGCCTACTCTGCGCTCACATCTATATTTTGTGGGTAGCACTTCTGTTTTGCTACCCGAACAGCATTGTAAGGCGGGTAGACATCTGCCTTTTTCTCTTTGCCAGCTGTCCTCAAGGTTTGATACGCAGACTTTGTCAAACCGGTTTCAATTAAAAGGGCAAGTGCCTCGTCAGGAGTAAACAGGTGCAGGTGGGGGTGAGGAAATTAGTTTTCTTATCTTTGCAGGACTCTGAATGATAAATTGAAGAACATATCTCAAGTTTGGGTTCCTCCCATAAGCTCCTTGAGAAGCTGCAAAAAGAAGCTCCCGGTGCTCACTTTCCTGCAGCAGTGTTTGGGCCCTCCGTTGTTTTGATCGCTTGGAAAGTGAAGTTCATTCCTTGCTGGGTCGACCTGCTCCTGAACCCGATGCTCCCTCATCAGACCTAGAGACTTCTTTCACTTTAGAGAGCCAATGATCAACTTCCAGTGGGAACAACATCTCTGCTTGTAAACACTCTCCATTTTTCCTTTCGAACTGAGATTTGTTGCGGCTACAAGCTATCAATTTTCCCTTCAATCTATACAGAAAACTGTACATGGTTGATTTGATCTTTTCTTGAATTCACCCCAGAATGTCCAATTGCTGGATACCGTGATATTTAGAGGGAAAAAAACATGCATCTCCCAAATGAGACTTCAGTGTTGGATAGCTCCCCTGAAGACCTGATAGTTTCAGTTAACAGCTTTCTAGGTATGGATGCCAAGCTGAACTCATGAAATAATGAAATGAAATTAACTTGGTCCCGATATTGCCTTTATACTCAACTAGTGACAACTTGCAATTAACTACCGGGCTTTCAGGGGGTTTGGCTTAATTTCGGTTAATTCAAGGACCTGCAACCTTGTCCCTGGATCACACACGTCAAGAATCACTGACAGTTGGGGACTTCAAATATATCTGATTTTAAACAGACACCCCATGCTTTTACCATGCCCCACTACGCAGCCGTTACAAGTGTTTTAGGGTCAACAATACGTTAATGATCATGGGCAGTTTGGAACTTAAATGAGTGCTCGAGTTTAAACAGGTATTGATGAGCTAGAAATGTATACAAAACGCTTTGTCTAATCGTTGTTGTTAACATGTATATAGTTTTCTGTCTATAACGAGTACAAACAAATGAAAGATGACCGTGTCTACAGAGCGTGTTGGTTTTTTGCTGTAATGGTAAAAGCCTCGAGGGAAATGCAACCTGTCACACGCATACGTTATTACATGCGGTTGAGTCAAACAGGCGCGTCGGAGCATCTTGCGTACCACTTTAAAATAGTATATCTTCAAAAGTGGCAAAAAGTCGCAACCAGTCTTTTTTTAATTGTTCTTGAAGGTTAAGGCTTTTGGAAAATATAAGAGCTAAAGCGGGAATGTATATATTTTTTGCGTGTGAAAAAAATAATGCACATTTTAACGAATTTTTTCTTGACATTTGGAGCTTTTTCAGACTTTAATCCTAAAGTGAAGGGGTTATGAATCTTATTTTCATAAAATATACTTTGTAAACAACATCCAAGCAAATTTCCATGGCGTTATCTTTTGCATAGTGACCATGTCAGTAAGTTAAATTGGGCGTCCAGTTCTATTACTCACATTAGAAATGTGACAATTTTTAGTAAATTAATCGGAATATTGCCCGTGATAAAGATTTCCAGTCGTTAATTTGTGCATGTAAAGTACCCCATGACCATTGGGAACTAAAAAAGCCCGCAGCATTGATTTTTGAAACAATTATACTTCACCTATTTTGGCGCAGTTTGACCTTGAACTGGTCAGAAGCGTTCGATTTTTTTTACACAATGGGCCGGCCATACTTGCTTCTTGCTTAGGTTTCGTCTAAACAAAGACAAATAATATCTTTTATACACTGCAATTAGTTCTTTTTTTTATATAACAGGTTTTGCCCTTACCCAACGTATATTAATAAGCACTGTATGCTCAGTG